CGTTAACATACTTCCCCCTAGAGTGTAAATAACTCCTTGTGTAAGGACGAGTTGCCACGGCTCGGTTGCAAACGCTGCGCCAATCAGACCAGCGACGCAGAAGACGACGCCCACAGTCATAATGGGTTTTTTGAGTGCGGGATAGCGAGAAATGAACGGAAGGATCATCCAGGAAGAAAGGTAAATAATTCCTGTTAACATGGATCCGACGAGGGCGAGAATCGATGTCGGTGCATCCGGGATAACATGAGTCCTGTAGTATTCCAGGAAGACGCCGTATGAGAAAGGATACGACCTGTACAGGTAATTTTCATCTGAAGAATAGCGTGAAACAAATGGAACAAACCAGACGAGAAGCTCAACAACCCAAGCGCTCGCTAGATAAGTAAGGGCATGGAATCCATGATCCTAGAATTTATTGAGGAGTAGTCTTCGACACTTCGATGCTGACATACGACAGGGGGGAGAGAATCCGCATTTAAAGAAGGGATGCGGTCCAGAGATGGGTCCACAGAGATTACATGGACGTCCTCTTCTGATTTATCCATCCTTATAGATGTGTAGGTGGCTGAAAACGCAAGTGCAGGCCCTTATAAATTATTAAGCTTACAGATCTCAAGAAATACTGACCCGGGGATTGAATCCCTCCTCCCACAGGTTCCCCGTAGGCAAGCTAAATTTGAGGCAACATATTCTAACGTTTGAGCTAGTCTCGGACCAAACTCTCATGACAGGGTTCCCATTTTGGGATGTCATGAGAGTCTGGGCTTATCCCAGGACAATAGCTGTACCATTGCGCTATCATTTTTGATCGTATATTCCCACGGTGTGCGTAGGTAAATTCTCGTATCTGCTTCGGAGCCCGGACATGATATACCCTCAAATCAATAATTGGACACATTCAAAGTGTTTCCTAAGTATCACCCCATGCAAATTCGGTGCCGCTTCCACTGCAACATTATTTTCGACCGATGTGTGCTGTGGCAGTGCACCCGGTAACTCAAAGGTAGTACAAATCAATGTTCAGTTTCATCTATGGCCCTTTCCACAATTTTTAACACACAGGATGTATTTAATTGAGTCTTGAACCCCACCTGTAGGATAACAATGGTTCCATGCTGTGAGAATGTCCAGTAGAACACATTTGTGGTCGTGGGAATATACGATCAAAAATGATAGCGCAATGGTACGGCTATTGTCCTGGGATAAGCTCAGACTCTCATGACAGGGTTCCCATTTTGGGATGTCATGAGAGTTTGGTCCGAGACTACGTTTGAGCACTAACACATCAGAGACTGCATTCGAAGATCCTCGGGGATTTGTGTATACGTCGCCTATAAAAAGCCGCTATTCAACACGAAAAATGGAACCAGTGTGATGTATAACCTGCTGAGAATTCAAGCCTCTGAGCGTCCACAGTCAATGTAGAATCATGCCAAGCACAAGATGCATCGCAAGGTGGAGCTATATCTCATATGGAAAGGCCGGGCAGAGATTATCACGGAGTCCCGTCATTACTCCCCGAGACAACCCGACGGGGAGCAGAGAGAACTTTAGGAGAATGGCCGCCCAATAGACATTTATTCCAGTTTGAGGTGCAGATCAAGACATTCTCCCGTAACTGACAGTCCGAGGGGTACTATGGTTGGCGTCATCAGCAATCCCAGAGGGGAATTGGGTGAGAAATCAGGACTTGGCGAGGCGAGAAGCAGAGAGCCTCGGAATTGGTTTGGACCGGCAGCAGACCGGCAAGGCTGGTTGTGGATTTGCGGGGAATGCTGGGTCCAAACTGCGTGGCAGAAATCGAGCCCTGGCATTGATTGATTACCCTGGTTCTGGGTCAACGATGGAACACCTGCTACACATAGGCGGAGATGGAGAGATTTCCAGGCTGAGAGGTACTTGAAGGGACCAGGCAAGACACGGCAAAAGTAGGCTGGAGTTGTCGTTTGAAGAACACGCATTGAGCTGAAGTCCAAGTAGAGAACGTTGATTGTCACAGGCTTCCCGGTGGCGGGCATCGAATGCTCGTTGTAAGTAGCCTAAAAAAGCATGAACACAATGTTGCGGATGTGCCGATCTCAAACCGGTCTACCGCGCCGCTCCGGACCGCCGAGTTGAAATCCTAGGAAGTATTTCTGTTGGAAAAACATCTGTTTGAAAAAGGGCAACTCTGGGGAGATTATTCCAGTTGTGAAAAGGAATTGGAAGAGAGAGAAATAAAACTGCACACTGCCGTGCAACCAGTACCGAGCTTTTTCAGTAGGTGCTGGAATAACACACGGAAGGGAAGGAATAAAATATGATTATATTAGTCGGGATAGAGCTAGTGCAAAGAGTGAGCACACGATCAAGAAGAAGAAGTTGGAATTCACCTTGCCAGGATTGAACAGTCCAAGAGGATCGGTCGCCCATTTTATTTTCTTCATTAATTCGACAGTACCCGGTCCTAGCTCCTCGACGAGATACTTCTTACCGATCCCGACACCGTGCTCTCCAGTACCTAGAGAAAGACGCATCAGATGTTGGAGTGAGATAAGGAAGGAAGCTTACAAGTCCCATCCAAACCTAGCGCTCGTGCGACAAGCCGGTCGGCAATCTTTCCCGCAACCTCCAATTCTTTTTTTGTCGTGTACAGGGAAAGAGCATGAAAATTCCCATCTCCTGCATGGCCGACTAGAATCGAAGGAATTCCTGCCGCAGCAATATCCCTTTTGGTTTCATAAACGAGTTCTGGGAGCCTCGAAACAGGTACGCTGGAACAATACTTAAAAAATAATATTCGAACACAGAGGATATTGTACCAGACGTCGGTTGAGTAGCCCTTGGCGCCAGGGACGAGAGAGAGTCTGATGTTGAGCGTGTTCTTTCGGTCAGACCACATGGCCTCTGCCTCGCCTGGCCCACTGGCAAGTTTGAATCCGGTGCCTCCGTTTTTCTCACGGACAGCTTTTACAATCTCAGCAACTTCTTTCATCACTGCTTCGGAATGTCCCTGGAATTTGAAGAACAGCCCATCTTTTTCCAGATATTTTCGTTTTGACGAGCCTAAAGGGAGTACAGTGAATGAATCATTAAGAAATGAAGTACCGTACCAAACTTATTCAACGCGGCCATGAAGTTGTCGTCCACCAATTCAACGCATTCTGAGAATAGTGAGTACAAGGCCCTCATTCAACACAGCAGACTTATGGATACTGGCAGCGACGCCTGCAACATCTATCGATTGTTAGACTGCCTCTGCTGCGGCGGCGACATTGGGGAACTGCACAGTTGTGACCGTAGTAGGGAGAACCGGTGCCAATTGGAGTGTCACTGACATACGGTGAATTATGCCCTATGGTTGAGGATATTGATTACCTTTGGTTATTATTCCTAGCGTTCCCTGCACACGGAGACAGTAAGGAACTGTAAGAGGTTGAAGATGCGTGCGTACTTCAGCACCAATGAATAATTTCGTCAGGTTGAACCCGGCGGACGACTTTCGGGATCGACACCGTGTTTTGATCACTTCACCAGAAGGAAGAACAACAGTCTGCGAGATACTGAAATACGTCCAAAGAGGAATGATATAAAAATACCATGTTGAGAAACCATTCACCCTTAGCAGTCCCATACCGAACAGTGTTTGCTGGAGGGTTGGTTGATATCATATTCAGAGAAAAGCAGCAGTCAGCGCACTTCCGGAACAGCCAGTGCTGATCATTCCGCCAATTGTCGCCGAAGGTCCAGGATCTATCTGTGAAAAAGAAATGAACCAACCACACGCAGACGCAAAGGAATCAACTGTACAGGAAAGAATAGAGGTATTCCTGGGCGAGATGAATTTGGGATGAACTCAACCTAGAGTAACTCACCTTTACTGCGTAGTGTTTCGTTGATTGTTGTCCAGCCCACGCTGGGTCGACATACGAGGTCTGTGTCGGCCTCTGAATGCCTCATTAGGGGTTTGATATGTCGACGCAAATACCACCTCCCGGATACTAGTGCAAATGAATTCAGAATAGGATCCTCCGCCGAAGAAAATGACGAACACCGCCAACTTGGCCCTCCAAGCTTGTAGCTCCAGAATATGGCTGTAAGCACACGTTCAAGTTAACATGGTAAAAATCCTAGAGAGTATTAAACCTACAACGACGGGCATTTTGAACTTGTTGATTTTCACAACCTTGACGATATCTTCGGTGTGTTGTGGATATACGATGACACTATGTTTGACACCTGCAGTAGCCAGATATGAAAATTCAGAGACGGCCAAAGCAAGGGCTGGTACCATCATGCTGGTGATAAGGTGATTCCCCGTGGATAGTGAGGTCGCCTTTGTCAGTGGAAAGTCCTGCAGGAGGGAAAATGCTCTTTAACTCCTTGATCGCCTGTTCGAAGTCTTTCGGAGTCCCATACTCCAATTTTGAAGTTGTTGGTTGCGCAACAGCAGTGGATAGCGCAATACTATAACCCCCGACTGCTCCGCACATGGTAGCGGCGAGCAGCACCGCAAGAACAGCCAAGTTCTGACGAGGATTCACAACTACTTTCGGGATGTTGTATTTTGGGACGTTAAGCTTCAGAAGCGCCCGAGATTTCAGTCCTCAAGCGAAAGGGGATGGGTAGAGGACACCGAGCTTCCCAGCCACGACTCGGGGGATTCCATTAGCGCACAGAAGGTGGGCCCGATGTAAGGAAAATGCCATGAGGGAAGGAGTCAAGATCAACCGCTGGCACGTGTCAATTGATTGTTCAAACCTGTTCAAACTTTGCAAATAATGACACCAACTCCCTATCAGGTATTCATGGCTTGAAAATTGGAACTGGAGAAGCCTGGATCTCAAGCCATTCGTTGACCATTGCCAATACATAGACAGAAAGAAAAAAAGGCGGGACTGGGGTTCGAACTCTGGGCCGTGTTGCAGCTGACTGTTCATGTAATGTGGTAATGAAGAGAACAGTCGCGGAAAGAGACTAAAAAGATCCTAAGTCTCGGAAGATAGGGAGTAAAAACATGATTCGACCCAGGTTCGAACTGAGGACCGCCTGTGTTCCACGCTACGTAACGTGGATTACGTAAAATGTTAGACAGAAGTGATAAACCAACTACACCATCGAACCAACGAAGAACTTGGAGATTGAAAGGATGACGTTGAGCAACAGCGCAATAAGAGTTTGTGGAGGTGGAAGAGTAATTGTATGGTGCACTTCACTTAGTCACCACTACTTTTGTACAGCGGCCAATCTGGCTGAGCGAAAAATTTGGGTGTGTGGTGTGGATTGAGAGCAACCAGGCATGTACAGGGTGCTGGAAAAACATGTTTCACACATCTTTCAACCTGATTTTTGACCCTACAGTGTATATTTGGCAGGGAGTGCCAGTGGCCAAATTGGGTCGGAAGGAAATATTTATCTCACCCAGTTTTGACTTTATGTGAAATCCCTCTGACCAAAACACTCCCCTTGTGAAAAGAAGCATTTCTGCCACCAGAGAAATAAAAAATCAGGGTAAAACTGAGCCGGAACTATCCAGTGTACAAAAGTAGTGGTGACTAAGTGAAGTGCACCATACAAAGATCCAATAATTATAATATTTCAGGTTTCTAGCCCACACTACACATTAGCTATCAATTTACTTTCGCTGACGCTTCATGCCAGAGAGATTTGTGTTGTCAGTGTCGGTGTTAAGTTTGTGAACCGCGAAGATGGCGCAATTCGGCCCAAGTAACGGACACATATCACGACAGGTACCGCTCTTCAGGCAAATCTCTCCGGCTCAATAAGGTCGAGCTCTGCCACATCCACGCCCGTAAAGTCCCGACTCTTTATAGTCCTGCTCTGTACTTCCTGCTTTTGCAGCCATAACCGGTAGAGCTCAAAGCAGTCCGTCGCCTACGCAGAAAGTCTGAAGTCAGCTTTTGGGTCTACGAGAAGAAAAAGCCAACTACAAGAACAAATATCCCGTAGCCAATGGAGTTTCTCCACCTGTGAGATGCGTCGTTTAAAAAGTAAGCAAAATATGGGGATTAGTATGCATACCACACAGGATCAACGTGTCCCCACACCCACGAGCCGCCCAGGAGCAGTCCGCCCGCCGTCCGGCAAGCAGCCAATGCCCGCTGGCGTAGTGTTAACCCTACCCACCCAGGGCAGTAGGCCGGGTACGCGCGCACCTTCCCGAACGGCCGCAGGCCGAGGAAGCGCCGTAGGCACACGGAGTATTCCGCCGCCGCGCACAGCAGCTTCCCGAACACGCGCGGCGCGACGACGGACGCGACCGCATGCAGCACGTCGTGCGTGAAGGACGTTTGGTCCTTCTGCACGATTTGGTCCGCGATGAGGACTGGCGCGGGTTCGGCGAAGGGATCCTGGTCTTGCAGGGCGTCGATGGCGGGGGGCGGTGGCGCGTCAGGCGCTGCGCGAGCACGCGCGCCAAATGTGAACAGGCCGCGGGCGCGGTCGCTGAGGTAGCGTTTTTGGCGCGAAGGTGGGGAGGATCCAAGAACGCGCGCACGGAAGAGGGAGAAGAGGCGGTTGTACGCGGGGCGGATCATGAGTGGTACGATGACGAGACCCAGCAGCGCTGGGGATGGCGGCCACGACGAGATGATGGGGCGGGACGTAATGGGTGAGTCGTTCGGCAGGACCTCTGATGGCGAAGACGACGAAAGCCCCGCCAATCCGAAGAGGGGTGGGATGACGAGGTATAGCGGTATTATCCACTTGGGCAGAGCGCCAGGAAGGAGGAGACGGAACGGAATGGTTGGGACTAGTATGGCGAGCGACCGAAGGAGGTGCTCTGCTCTGTCCGTTAGCAGGAGGCCAAACATTCTGTGTGGAGGTCAGCGCCTTGTACCATTGAGCGCTCAAAGACGTACTGTGGACCCAGATATGATTCCAGAAATGCAACTTCGTACACGAACATTCCTGCAGCGGAACATTCAGTAGTTTTCCAAGGTGTCGCCAGCGCTCTAACCTGTAAGCACCGTAACCCTGCTTTGCAGCGACAGCGCGACTGGGATGGTTTGCAGTGCAAGAAGGCCCGCCGTCGTGCACGCAATGTCGACCAATGCCGACAGAATCACAAAGACCGTGTCGCCGACCATTAGTACCCTGTGCAGAGGGGGCGGCTTTGGATTCGCGAGCTCATACTGCCGGCTACATCGCGGGCACTTGAACGTGTCGAGCGCAAATATAGTTTGGTTCGGATCCTTTCGCTTGAAGCGCCGTTTCAATGGAAGCGTGCTGATCCACCGAAGGAGACACTTGTCGTGTGCTAGCAGGGGACAGTTTGGACATGGGTGGACCCAGACGTTCGCTTTCGTCGAAGCTGAAAGTATTGTATGCGACGCGGATTTGGAGCACTCGGAAATGCGACATACCAGGCGCGTGCTCTTCTTCCTCCAAGCAAATGAAGCAGGATTTGACCTAGCCTGACTACATAAGCCTAGGTCTCCTGAGGCCCGTGCAACTTACGCGGAGGTCATCCAGCGTCGGGATGTCGGGCTCGGACATGGAAGGAAAGCAAGTAGTAATCGTCCGGGCTAGACCCCGATCTGATTTGCTTCCGCTTCGACATACATACCACCACTACCGGTGAACTCGATAGAGGAAAGAAGGGGAGAAGAAATATCCAAATCAAATTTATTATGCTATTAATTTATGGTTAAGCAAGCATTTCGCCATGATTTTGCAAGGCTTCGGTGGTAAAAAAAGTTCGATGGGCCGGAGAAATGCGTACGAGGGAAAGGGGAAAGGGACAGTGTTTTCTGTCATAGACACAACGATGGTGGAGACGTGGCCGAGATGTACCCGCGAATGAATGCATAAACGCCAGGAATGTCTGGAAGGAGTTCAAAAGGAAGTCGCAATGTACTAGCTTGAGACTGTTGCGTTCATGCTACCAACTTGAACTTGAAGGGTGAGGCTCCAGTTGCAAGGAGGAAAAAGAGGTTGCGCGGCAAGAGGGGAAGAACGGACGCGTTGAAGACGAAAGAGGAGTGTCTTGGTATGAGGGTCGCGTGGTGGGTCGCTGCTAGAACGCGCAAGACGACGGTACGCGGAGCTACAGAGAGAAGAGAAAAAAGTCTAGGTAGGGCAATGCACATCTCCAAGTGTCGCTCGCATCAGGAAATTCTCATGGAAATAAAAGGAAGAAGGGATAGAGGAGAATAAGAGCAACGATAAGAGCACTCACCTCAGCGCCTCGGCACCTCAAAGACGCTTGCGGCGAGCCCCAGCGAGAGCATTTGACGGTAGTATTCGAGAACAACATGCAATGTGCTTTGCTGATTCAGAGACGATGCGAGTCAACCAAGAAGTGATAGAAGAAAATGCACACGCACAAGCACGATGCGTATATACAGGATATAACCGGTGAATGACCACGGGGAGATGCTTGACCCGGATGTTGGATGCAGATGGCAGTCTACAGCGCATGGCGAACTCGAAAATTAAGTTGGAGTCAAGGGCGGTCGCTGTGGGTCGGAGACCTGAAGAGGCCGCAAAACAACTTGAGAACAGCGCAACGTGAACAACATCCGAGTGCAGCGTTCACCGCCCACGGTCCGCACACAATACACATAGACTGTCACCCGCCGACGAACGCGCAGATTAGACTAGTTTTGCGGATGCGTGTGCGTGGTGCGTGGTGCGGCATGCGGGTGGATGCACGGCTGGAAGCTAGATCAAAGCAAAGAAAAATGCGAACGCACCACGCATCATGGCCAGATATACCACTACACTCCATCCAAACATGCCCGACAACGTCCTTTCCGTGTCAATGATGATGTTTGCAACGCAGCCACACCGCAACAGGAAGCATCCGAGATTTGCAAGCCTGGCGGCGATTGGCAGTTCAATTGGCGTGAGCGTAACCGCCGACGTTGCAAACGACACAATGGGAAGGTTCAAGTGCTTGCAGGTATGTGTCTCTTCTTCCCCGGGCGATCTTACTCGCAGTTTGAATCTAAGATCTTGCCAAGATCTCGCGATTTCTTGAACCAGGAGAAGTCGGGATTCCGATAGCGGCGATTCACTCTCGGACTCGCATCGTCCACAGCGAGACTCCCTAGACCTCGAGCTCCATTCGTTCTGGAAGGCCATCCACTCCATCGAATGATTGACCAGAGGGAGAGGAAGGAAACGACTCGCATCCTTTCCAAATTCGGCCTCTGCCTTCATTCGTACGACGTAGACCAAAACCGCAGACTGGATCCTCTAATTACACCGCAAAATATGTACTCACAGACAACACACCTCGATAGGTCATATTTATTTGTGTAGTTACCTACACCGGCATCTTAGCTACGTAGTATAGCTTGCGCCGTTAACCGATCTCTCTCTCTCTCCCCTCTGCCTTCAAGTTGGCTCCTTCGATCGAGTCCTTGCAAAGAAAACCTATCCCTTGGAATTCTTTCGCCTCCAAGGCCCCGCACACACACCCATATCCCGAAATTCGAATACTCGCAGCATACATTAAGCAGCAGTCATACAAAGAAAAAGATACAGGGTATATTAAGCACTGGCCGCCCAACTGGATCTCGACGTCCGCACTGAGAATCAAACAGATCAGCAACCCGCAAACCAAAACACAGAAAAGAGAAACGTACGCGTCAGCCGGAAGCAGTAGGCAAAAAGGGAGCGAGTCGATGTGGTGGCTGCAACTGCAAGAGGCGTCCCCCTTGCGTACGTCCGCGTCGTCTCGAATCCAAATACCCGTCTCTCTTCCTCGCAATCGGAATCCTCAGCCGGGGTATACGGGGGTATATGCACGATCCATGCTCGACCGGGGGTATATGGTGAGGGCACCGGGGTATATTCCGTAAAAGAAAAAGAGATAGTGAGATTGAGAGGGGGGGTATATCTGCAGCACCGAAGTCAGCATTTCAGCGAGGAGGTGTCAAGACATGGACGTACATGAGTAGGGACGCGCAGTCCAAACTCCGCGAGACATATAGAGATGTGCGTGATCATGCTCGGGGAATCCAGTCCAACTGCGGCGGCGCCAGGGTTCGATTCTCCAATGCAGTCCAATCGCTGAACAGCGTGTATCAGCCAGGCACAAGCAAGTGCTGCAACAAACTCACAGGTCCCACAGCGGGTCTGCCTTGATATCGTCG